GCAGGATTAGCTATTCAACTGAAGAAAGAATATAATTAATGAAGCACTGTATAACAGTAGCAATGATATAAAACTAAGCCTGTTATTACAGAGTACATCATCTTGCTTCAAGGGCGTAAATCTGGGGGGGGGGGGGGCCCTCCCTCACTTTTTTCACCAGTGGGGATGGGCCATTTGATCATCCCCAAAATGTTTGTGATGAGAAACAAAAAAAAAATGGGGGGGGGGGGTTATTATAATAGTTGTGAAAAACGGAGAACATGTACCGTTTTGATGTACGGTTAAGGGGCGTAATCACATAACATTGCTAAAGATGTACATTTGTATTTTGAACACCTCCCCCTAGAGTCATGTGGTTTCCACTACCCCCCCCCCCCTCTTCCAATTTCCACGGCCGGGCAATTTTTGGATCATCCCCCATACCCATCCCTCCCCCGCCTCTCGCCGACACGGATATACGCCACTATACCTTGCTCAAAAGACGGTTACCCTTCCATGTTTTCGCAACACAAACAGACTGTTGAAAAATACCCTTCGCTTGAATTTTTGTTTGATCCTTCATCCGTACCCACACGAAGTTAAACGGCTGTTCAAGATAAAGCATTTTAATAAATTAAACGCCAAATAAAAGAGTCTTTTGTTGGTGATTGAGAAGGGCTAAGAAAGAATTCAGCTGATGCGTGGCTTTTTTCAAAGAATGTGACAATGTTACACGTGAGTCCTGGTTAAAGCACTATATGGGTCTTTATATAAACCAAATATAAAGGGTGAAACATTGCTTGTCGATTGACTTAACGAATCAGCTTTACAACATAATCATAAGCAGTAAACACACATACAATCAATCGTTAGCCAACGCCGGTTGTTTACAAAGCCAATTTCCGGACACTGAAATCCTCCCGTTACCGGTATCCACATACTTAGTGCCACACACACAAGAAGCGGCTCTAGCGGGCATCAGCTGCCTGTTTATTGCGCCTTAATTGCACGGCGATTGCTGCGCATTATGCTCCACACAATCAACAACGAAATTTCATCTATTCAGCGCAGGATAATTCTATTTCTCATGTCCCGGAGCAGAGTAAAATGTTTGCCTTGTTCATTATGTTTTCAAAACAAGAAGAAAGCCAAGTATATTGTTGGTTCAGCGGTCTATTGTATCAATACTAATACCCTCATTGGCGCATGATTATTCAGGCGAGAATTTGATGCATCTTGGCATTGTCCGGCCCAACTGATTCACCCCAAATGAGGCTTTCATGGAGCCTAAACGCAGCAACTATAACCCAGATTCTTTTTTTTTGTTCCCAGTGTAGAATTCTGTGCTGTTTTGCCACGTAAATCTGACATGGTAAGGTTTTCTATGAACGGCCCCGAATGAATTCTCTTAAGAAAAGTATCAATAGCCTACCAACCGCTTTGCACGAGGTGATGAATGGCCAATAATGGCAAAGATGGGGTTTTACGAAGATAGATCCTTTCACCATTTCTTGCTCTCCTTTTTAATGAAAGCAACACATGGCTTTTTTTTTTTTACAGAATTACTTGTGTCCATTGTCCGCCTCCAAATTGGAAATAATTCGAAGCATTCAAACAGAGTAGTAACCGCTGAGCTGCCGTGAATGGATATCGATGGGGGCTTTTTGAGGAGTTATCCCGGCGCGTTGAGCGACAGAATGGGGGAAGAGTGGCCGGTCATTCATTGCAATTCAGCTTTCCACTAAATGTCCATTCAGGGCTCTCCTGGTGGTGGTAACCAAACAATAGTATGAATAGAGGGTTGACAATGAGCCCATGTACGGATTAGAACCACTGAATTGCAATTAGCATTTTGTAGAGACACACCACGTGACACGTGTAGTGTTTCTTTGAGTCAAGCTGCGTGCTGTCGTTTGTAAGCATTGGCAAACTGCTGGATGCCTGAAGATTTATACTGAATACAGTCTCAAGAAATGTTTGTTCATTGTACATTAACCATATACCATCGTTTTAATTGGATGGAGATGTCATCATAATAAGTTTTGTTCATTCAATTTGTTAAAGTATTTCGTTTAATGAGTAAAACAAATTATACGTCATTTATATTAGTGGTAATGGTAATATCTTACGGCTTTCGGAACTTTTTATTAAAACAGCTAGAAAATAGAGCATTTACAGCAATACCATTTTAAATTAATAATTTTCCACCGTAGAGGCAGTTTCACAATGATGCAAAAAGAGCAACCAAGTTTCCTCCAAGCAATAGAACACGGTACATAGAAACCAAAGTAAGACTTTTCTTGCGAAATTGCAATAATGAGTGGCTGCCGTCCTATCCTTTCCCCGGATACCGATAGCCTTGGAGGGTGTTGGTCGCCAACTCTACATGCGGAATGCCACAGCAGCTTAACAGAAACCTTTTCTTTAGAAACTGTTTTCTCTAAATAAATTGCAGCTGAAAGTAAAATGCACAGATTATACGCATAGGCGTCACCAGATTTTTTTCTAGAGTAGTAGAGGTGGGGCAAAGCACTCGCCAGAAAGCGAAGGGAGAAATCATCGGCCATGGAAATTCGAGAGGGTTGCTGGACATCACTCGACGCTTTGTTAAAAACCGTCCATGTTGTTAAATATGCATTAAATTAACAGTAATACGATAAGAGAATCCCCCCCCCTCGTTACGCCAATGATTATACGTGTATAAGATTACAACATTACGCCTATGCATGAAGTATTCAAAGATACAACCAAGATTGATATTTTTGACAAAAACTATCATATACCGAATCTTTAAAGCCATTCATTTTTTTTAACAGTGAGCACAACCTATCTTGCATTTGTAACTGTGTGCTGCACAAACCCCTGACAAAATATCCCGCCCGGTAAGACACTGTCAATGTACATGTATATACATGTGCATGTATTTGAATGTACATTGTACATGACCATGGAGCAACACTTGGGTTTATTTCACCGTTAAGTTCTTCGAGTCGATGTACCGCAGTCACTGAGTGTGTGACGGCGAGATCGGGCCGGCAGACACACTGCCAGACAGCCAAGTTAAGCATCCATGGAGTAAAGCATTAACATGGCCGTTTACATGTAAATGTACATGGCATCATATCCCTAAACCTTAAGTCTTCGAACCCCTTAAAACTCCATCTTAGACGCTAGATTAAAGTTGAGGTGAAGTGACGTTCCGATGCGTAAGTACAGACAGATGGACAAAACATTTTTCAAGCTAAAACTTTTGATTTTTAGTACGTTTCGGTAGTTGTAAGCAGTATACGTGGTGTATAAGTTCAAATGCATCGTTGTTTGGGATCTCAAATTAAAGCCCATATTCAAGCTCAGACAAAAACTAATTCAGCAACTATTAATAGACAGTAAGCCAAAAACAGGAATTACTCGGTGCTATGTCTAAGGGAAAAACTGATGGGCGCTAAAATCAGCACTCTCATGAAAAACATAGACATTTATTGTACGACAACCCACTGTTGTTCAATGCACCAAGTCATACATTTCGTCTTCAGAATAAGGGGAAAACGCGCCAACCCAATTCAATTTCAATAGAGCCGGCCCTTCAGCTGTCAGCCTTTTCATTGCCCCCATAATAGCCTGACTAATCGCGTCATTGTTTAGTTCTGTACTCTGTGCAAAACCAAGGACCTCACAGAATGGCTATTCACGAATACCGTATCAAGGAAAAGAAACAGTAATCGATTGCGTGCTCTTCTTTAAGTGTTAACATGAGCGTTTAAAAACTGTTAAATGAATGTATCATGATGCCTAGAAGTAAAAGTGTTGCGCTTTATTAAATGAAGCTGTTCTAAGGCGTGCACAGCTAGTGGCATACATCAAGCGTTCTTTCTCTTTTTTTTCCAATCGATGGCGAGCCGGGACGTATTTTGGTAGCGTGTTAGCTTCCGCCCTATTGACAACGCAGCCAGTTCTCTCCACAAATCCGGCAGGGATTTCCATTGTTGGTTCTGCAAACTTCAATAGCTGCCCCATTCATGCCATCACAATGGCCACACCTAACTATTCACGCCGGTCCATTCATAGCGGTTTAGTCTTGTTTACTCCCGCCAAGGCCGGCCCATTCAATGTTGAATACATCCTCCAGGCAATCATTATCATGCATATTGCCAAGTATTAACCCCCTTTTGTCCACACGCCTTAAACCCCTTTCAGTAAAGAACTGCATCTCGCAATCTGCTTTTCATCTATTTATTTATGTCATACGTGCCTTTTCAATTCCTCATGTGTTTTTCTCTTTCATTGTTGTGTTATTTTATGCCTTCGTGGTTATTTTCCCTTTATATGACCATAGTTCACGGGTTTGCAGGCGCTTACAGCACCCCAGCATTGATGACTTGACAATTCACGTTTCTTCACTATTGCTGGCCCCTTTTTTTGTTGTCAGAGAATAGTTATTGACTACAAAGAGCAGAATAGACCAGGAAAACAAGTTTTTAAGCTTTTCTTTTCTCTGTAGCCAACACCACGGTATGCAGCGATGCCCAAAGTGTTTTCGTTGGGAAATAGCGACCCTTACCCCGTGAGAAATATTCCTTTCGCTTTTCTCAACTTATTCAGCTTAGGTTTGAGTGTATCAACAGCCCCGCACATGTTATAAAAACCTCAAACTGTACGATGCCTTACGTTACAATCCAAGCAGACTCTTTCTCGAAAGCCAAAAACTAGCAAAACAATATTTCCCTCCTGACCCCAACACTATGTTTAAGACCAAGTCTTGCTATGCCATGCTATTTGTGATCAATAATAAAAAGTTATTCATCGTTTTTTTGGAAAATGAAAAATTGTCAGGAAAGAAAAGCACAATTTGGTGTAGAAGACGAGGAGATCCATTTTTGTCCATATCAAATAAAGCCTGTTCAGGTGTGAATTATCACTGTATAACATTGCACAGACAGTGTTTTGATGGTGCAATGCATGTTTAGGTGGATATCAAGATTTTTTTTTGTTATACACAAAATAATGGGCATCAAGTACGAGTGTCCAAATACATTTGTATTGTCAATCAAGCGATAAAGAAGCTTCGTTCCATGTAGTAACATAAGGCATAGGAGCCAGGAACAGAAAGTATATGAACAAAAATCACACATTTCATTTCACCCAACGAAATTTTTCCGAAAGTAACATGTGATACATTTTATACAAATGACCTCATTCGGTACGGAAATGAACCACCGTCCTCTACCCATTTTCAAGTGATGACTGAAATTTTAAGCAACTACAAATTTGAATCTTGAAACAGCAACTGAATTTTATCTTCTCTTTTTCTCTGGATACGTTAGCTACATGAAACTGCAGCTTCACAACAAACCTCATCAAACAATAACAAAAGAATCATTAAATACAAACAACAACATCATACCACACATTTTTTCTCAATGATTTTCCCAATTCCTTTTCATTATCTTTCTAAAAACAAATGCAGCTTTGACCCCTGTGAAGAGTCATGTTATGTTACCAACACGAAGACAGCTCTACAAAAAATTATGATGAAAGAGGTTTAATTTATTAAAAAAAAAAAAAACCCTGATAATTTCAGAAAGCAATATCTCTAGAGTTCAATCCGAATTTTATTATCAGTGTAGTACTGAGTGTACAATGTTTATTAATATTGATAACAATTACTTTTAATGTTAGTGCTGATTTTTGTCACCTCGGTTGATAACCAAGGTTTGTCACATCAAAACAAAATCTAACTAAAGCAATTAGGAATCAATTCATCCGAATTGATTTCTGACAACCAGGTATGGCAGCAAGTGAATAGGTTTCAAATCTATGGAAAGATACAAGTATAAGATTGTGAAGATAAAACACTTCTATGTTCTATATCTTAGCAAAACACAACTTAGCTATATAGCAGTGAAGTTTGGATTAAAATGGCAACAGCTGAAAGAGGTTTTCAAAAGGGACGTTTTGCTTCAAATAATTTGAAGGTGTCATAATCTTAACCAATTAACCACATCAGACCTAAATTATAGATGGTCTTTTGTTACAAAATAAGTTGAACAATATGACTGCATATACATGTACTTGCTTATGATGTTCACTTAAGTTTTCTCAATGCATGCATGTCATAACAACCATTTAACAATGAATAAACCAGGAACACAATTGTTCATAACTTTAAATAAAAACAGTCAACAATCTAAAAATATGATTGATAATAGAAAACAACATTCTGACTGCATTAAATCACTTTATATTACAAAAAGTACAGATCAAAGACAGTACATACTTGCACGTTGGTGGCTTCGACTAGGCCATTATTTCTACTATGTACTCAGGCAAAGTCTCAGTAGAATAGCATTGTGATTTGGTTTTTGAAATGCGTGCATCTTTTACTTGCTAAGAGTACTCTGCTTTTCAATCAGTGGAGGCTAATAAAGTTTAATCTCGCTTTTTAGATTTTCTTAATTTGTTAAATTATGGCCACATATAGAAAGTCATTATTTCTTCAATATGGCTGTCTGAAATTTGTTGTCAGGAATAAAAAAAAAATCTCGAACAGAAATAAATTTTCCCATCACTCATATACTGGGTTTCTATTGTCTATACAATATGTCTAATAATGTACCAATCTTCTAAATAGATCTTTTTTTGATGTTGACTGGTTTTGAAATTGTACAATGTCAACATTTTCTTGAACTCTGATGTATGCAATATATTTCAGTGTTGAAATTTCAGAGTTGATTTTTAATGAAAATCTGCAGAAATCAGATAACATTAAATCAGAAATGCAGAACACAACAAAATCTGATAACATTAAATCAGAAATATACTGCATACAAGTTCCCCCGATTGCTAAGGCTTTACATAATGTACAGAATCATTGCTTCTTATAGGCAATATCGTCAAGACTAGTACTTAAAACAGTTTAGTATTTTTCCACTTTGTGGTAAGTTATTAACAAAAAATTGACTTAACACAAAAAGATATGGTAGTTGCAACAGTTTCAAAAAGCCATCATGAGCTCTTTGGTTAAAATGTGTGTTAAATACATCTTCTGAAGAGTCGCAAACATAATACTACAAGACCACATTGTACAATTGGGAGACTAAAGTTGATGGATCATTATTTACAAACATCTTTAAGTCTCCACTTTGTCAAACTTTGTTCACAGAATGCAAGAAATAAGTTCAAGATAATAACTTTTTGACAGGTTTTAATTTAAGATATTTTAGTTCAGTGTTTCATCACTAGCACATGATGCCAGTTCGTCGATTATTACTACTGTCCACGTTCAGTAATCGTCGAAAAGTTATTAGCTGTACAGGTTGAACTGAACCGCGACCTATATTGCAGCAGTGTGTCTGGTGGGTACGGGCACGGTGGGTCGGATTGCAGGGTGAGCGGGACCATAAGGTTCCATATCCGGTTTGACGAGAATGTAAGCGACTGGACGCTGAATATCGGGACTACCGGGCCATCCGTACGGCATCATGTACTGCGATTGACTGTGTACACCGTGAGCGTGTGGCGGGATTGGGCTAGAAGCACCTGGAGGGAGCTTCCCGAACGCACTGCCCGGTAGAGAAGGTGGGTACATGTACGGCGATAGATGTGACGGGTACAATGCACCGGCCGCAGCGGCCATCTCAGCCGCCCGTAAAGACGGGGACGAATCCAGCTTGACGCCGTTATGGTGGTCGAGGATCTGATAGGGATGGGTTGACAGACTGGACGGTAGGTATGACCGCATCTTCTCCGCCGTGATGTGATCGTTAACGGATGTAGTAACAGGTCCGTAGGAACTTGTTGTCGGTACACACGGGATTGGGAAAGCATACCGGTCTTTCTTCATCATATTTTTCGGCTTTCGTCTGGGCCGGTACTTGTAATCGGGGTGCTCCTTCATGTGCAAGGCTCTCAGACGCTTGGCCTCGTCAATAAACGGTCGTTTCTCCTCCTCTGAAAGTAACTTCCAGTCTCCGCCAAGTCGCTTGCTGATTTCGGAGTTGTGCATCTTGGGGTTGTCCTGGGCCATCTTACGGCGCTGGCCCCGAGACCACACCATGAAGGCGTTCATAGGCCGCTTGACATGTTCGTTGGCTTTAGTTAAACCATCCATTGCAGAATCAGCTAGCTAGCTTGTCGATTGAAGGATGGAACTTGAATGTGATCAGCTTTGTTACCCTCTTAAATAAATCAAGTTACTTTCAAAGGCGATGAGACCACACTGAATCGGTGCTTGCTTCCACCACGTTCCGTTTCTACGAACGTCCTCACTAATGCTGCGGTGAAGTCCGTCATGCAACCACTGGACATGCTGTATGGAACTACATTACCATATCAGCGACATATACACAACACACTTCTCATTGACGTGACTGAGCGGTAAAGTTCAAAAGAATCAAGTGCTTTTACGTGCGCACGGCTAACAAGATTGGTAGTTACGAGCAGAAACGTATGAATTAATGACGTGTATTGACCAACCACCTTTCTCCGTTACATGGAACCGTCCTTACTGTATATTCCTAGCCTTCTGATTGGATTATGCATGGTAAACGCAATAAAATCTTGCATAAATGTATACTAATTTGTAACTCCGCCCACCTGTTGAAATACTTGGTTTCTATTGGTCAATGTTGTGGATGTGTCTCGACGAAAGCTAAGATGGCGGAAGACTATGCATGCGGTGTTTACTGAGCTGGATCGATTGACATTCATTTTCTAAAGGTTCGTATCTAAGTTATATTTTCTTTTGGATTATATCAGTTATTTTTAATGTCGTAGTAATATCAGTGATACTCACTGTAATGAATTTTCAACATGGACGGTGTCTTGTACGAGCACCGGGCAAATGGGCAAACTAAGTTACATTTGTATGGGCAATTTCCTTCACCAGTAACGATATGTTTTCACCCAGCAGTGCCCGGGTGCGAATGCCCAGTGCCAGTGCAGTGTTGCCCAGTGTGCCTCGTTTTTAGTCGAACATACGGTAATTGTATAGTTTAGGAGGGGGTCAGACAACTCGACCGTTGAGAACTCGACTCGGGACAGCTCGACTGTTGAGACAATTCGACTTGGGACAACTCGACCGTTGAAACAACTCGACCGTATGTGCGTTATAAATGGAAATACAAGTCGCCCATTGAGACAAGTCTAGGCGGTGTCAGGTCAACTCGCCCCTTACCGACTCGCCCCTTACCGACTCGCCCCCTGACCGACTCGCCCCCTGACCGACTCGCCCCCTGACCGACTCGCCCCTTACAAGCTCGCCCCCTGGCTGACTCGCCCCCTAGCCGACTCGCCCCCTTGCCAACTCGCCTCCTAGCCGACTCGCCCCCTGACTGACTCGCCCCCTGACCGACTCGCCCCCTGGAAAATGATGCACCGTACGGGGACATCGTAAAAAAAAATAAAGACAGTGGAGGGGAACACAGAGGGTCCAGCAAATCAGCTTCGTTATCTGAGTTTTGGGATTGAACTATTACAATTGCCCAATTCAAAATTTGGTTCTGAAAGTTCCATTTCTGAGCCTCTTTTATAACTTTTTCAAAACCGTTCGGTATGTTTGATAAGAACACCACTAAACACTAAACCAAAAAAATGAAAAACATTTTTTTGATTTTTCAAATATACAGCATTTATTCTAAAAAAATATTTTTTAATGAAACTGTGGACCCAGAGTCGAGATTTACAATTATTACATTATGTCACTGACAAACGGTGAACGCGGGTATACCTGCCGCGCGCCGGCACCCAACGTACCGGTACCTGTCGCGCGCCGGCACCCACCGGTACCTGCCATGCCCGCCGGCAGTCACCGTGAACGCTACTACGCGCACATGCCCAACGGGCCCTATGCCACGGGCACTCCGCGAAAAATCACGCTGCGCTATATCGGTAAAGTTGTGCTAAGGTGTTTCCAACCCAAATTCTTTATAAAGCAAGAATCAATAGTTTTTTGCATTGGTATCGGAAATCCTTCAAACTTGCGTTTGAGTAATTTGGCTCCATTAAGTTTCACGTTGCGACCGGGCAATGTGCCCCACTGTCTTTATTATTTTTTTTCCCGATGTCCCCGTACGGTGCATAATTTTCAAGTGGGCGAGTCGGTCAGGGGGCGAGTCAGTCAGGGGGCGAGTCGGCTAGGAGGCGAGTTGGCAAGGGGGCGAGTCGGCTAGGGGGGCGAGTCAGCCAGGGGGCGAGCTTGTAAGGGGCGAGTCGGTCAGGGGGCGAGTCGGTAAGGGGCGAGTCGGTAAGAGGCGAGTCGGCCAGGGGGCGAGTTGACCTGCAATCGTCTAGGCCTACTCGCAATTTTTCGGGGAATATTCATAGTACTATAGTAGGCCCTACCGGGGATTTTTCGTCGTGTTCTGGTTTGATCATTGGGTTGGGATTGGTTTAGTCCGAGTAACTTGGACCCAACTTATTGCCTTTTTAACATTCGGACATGGTCTGGCGATAGTGGAGTCCAAGCTAGTAATAGTGCGAGCTGGACAAACCCAACATTGCCCAAAAAAACCATCAGATTTCACCCTCAAAACGGCCTCCAATTTACTAGATACGCCACCTGAGGTACAAGTAGACATCGATAATTAAGATGGTTGTACTGAAGTTTACTTACGATCTGGATGGAAAGTGAAATTTCCCGTTCAATTCCGTGAGCTCCCCTCGCGATCCTGAACACGTTAAATTTCCAGTTCGTGTTAATGTTTGAACGATGCGATGTGGTCTTCATTCCCAGCGTACATTCGATGGTTCCCGGATCCCGAGTGCGATTCCGTTACTGAGCGCGCGCGATGCATTGATTATGATAATGAGTAGACTGGATCGCGTTAGTAAACACAAGTGCATTTCGAATGGTAAAAGGGAATCGGGAACCAGCTTGAACTGGTATCCGTCCATAAAAGCTGCCCTAGTTCCCGACCCCCTATTATCGTTCGAAGTGCACTTGTGTTTACTAACGCGATCCAGTCTACTCATTATCATAATCGATGCATCGCGCGCGCTCGGTAACGGAATCACACTCGACTGTGGTGTTATTTTATCGTAAAGTTGCGGCGCTTTTAGTTTATTTTCAGTTTCAGGTGCCACTTTTTGTCATCTGTAACTTTTTTGTAGACGGATTTTAGCAGGTTGAAGTCCTTTTACAGTTGTATAAAATACTGACTGCAACACACTCCAGCTCCCCATATCATTTGCGGCATGCAAATTTTAATCGGTACATTCTTCGTGCAACTTTTTACCGAAGCAGCACACAGTTGAAGCTTTGAATATCAGAATAATCGATCACGCAGTTTTGAGTTATCGACTACAAGTTTACAAGTTTATTGGAACATGGACAGCTCTACTCGAAATCTTTACGAGTGAATCATCTTTTTAAACAAAATCCATGAATGTCACTTTTGGTCATGTTTTTTTGTTAGTCAATAACTTTGAATGGTAAATTTAACATTATATAGGCCAAGAGAATTTGAAAATACGAAGTGGCTAAACTGGCTATGTTTACAGAAACAGTAAGAAGGGGGGGGGGGGGTGGGGCTAATGCGTTTTTCAAATTCAATGGGCTCACATCACTGAATTGCAACCCTACATTACAGCGAATCTATGATGTTTAAATTCCTACAGCAACTGAAGTACATGGGGATTTTGTCGGTCGACGGTTATCAGTTCCCAATACCAACACATGTATTGCACGTATGCTGCATGCAATACATGACATGGCAACACATGCGTCGCATATACAGTATGAACATGTAAAGTATGGTAAATTTGTACTATACTAAGGACTAGTACTGAGGCATGCATGCTTCGTACCATAATACGAATTATGGCATTTACCAAGAGATCGCAGTGGCAATTAAATTTATTTTTTATTTCATTTTTTTTCTGAGTGACTGGGAATTTTTTTTTTGCGACCCGAGTATTTTTTGGCCGGTTCAACCAGATCCGCGATTTGGTGCGACAACATTATTTACATCCTGTACTAGACCCAAAACAGCGGCAAACATTGTGTGCTTACGTTTACGAACACATTTTTATATCATGTACATCAATCAAGAGACGTGTTCACACACGAACGGCTGTGCTGGAGTCTGCTGACAAGCGTACTGTTCTGGAAATTGCCTGGTGTTACGTGGTCGTTATCAAATGATGTGCTTTGTGCAAACGGAACCAGTGAGCTTTTATTCCGTTCTTTGACTGACTGTGTGTACGAGCTGCTCGGCGGCCTAGAGCTATTTTGGCGTTTTACATTTCTAAAATCGCCAGTAGCCATCCTAAGATTTGGACTTGATTTGGTTTTGATTTACATACGTATTGCAGCTACATGAGGTAAAAGTTTTGCACTTTCAACAGTTATCAGTAAAGTTGTGGGAAAAAAACCGAAAGTATCTACGATATTTTTTTGCGAAATATGAGGGTTGAGAAAAAAATTGGCGATTTAAAACTGATATCGCCAATATCGCGATATTTCGATTTTTATAAAAACGTATGCGATTCCGATTATTTTTTTTACGAAAATCGTATCGTGGCGATATTATTGCGTATCGTCCAGCTCTACTAGTGGGGACCAGGTTGAGAGGCTCTACTACGGTGGCCCACAACTGTCACGGCAAAAGCAAAAGCGCCGCGGCAAGCGCAAAAGCGCCGCGGCAAGCGCAACAGCGCCGCGGCAAGCGCAACAGCGCCACGGCAAGCGCAAAAGCGCCACGGCAAAAGAAAAAGCGCCACGGCAAAACAAAAAGCGCCGCGGCAAAAGAAAAAGCGCCACGGCAAAACAAAAAGTGCCACGGCAAAAGAAAAAGCGCCACGGCAAAACAAAAGCGCTGCGGCAAGCGCAAAAGCGCCACGGGTAGCGCAAAAGCGCCACGGCAAGCGCAAAAGCGCCACGGCGAAAGCAAAAGCGCCACGGCGAAGGCAAAAGTGCCACGGGTTTATTGGGAAGGGGCGTAATCATACATGCCGCTACTACATCAAAAAATAAAATGGGAAGGAGAATGGCCGCCACCAGGAATTCTTATTAAGCACAGAATTTAATTCTTTGAGAAGTGATTTTATGGCTGAGAAAATAGCAAGGCCAAGGAAAACCGGTCAGGAAATAAATCGTCGATATTAATTTGTTGTAGGATAATTATTATTCCAAGAGAGTTGCTGCCGTGAATCAGAGTTTATCAAGGAGTGGGACTCGCTATCGGCACCATCAGGGCCGTTCCTCATTTCTTTACATTTCGTGGGATGCAAACAATTACAAGGACGGGAGGCTCTGTGAGCTGATGCATTTTTGAAAACATTTTTTTCCCCTTCCGACTAGCATGCAGAGAAGAGTTCCGTTAATTTGAGCCTTTTTTCACAGGTGTGTATACCAGTGTAGGCAC